GTAATGTAGTTTGGGCTAAAGAAGTTAGTTGCCGCTGGAGGGAGGCTAGGGAATCTGCAGTGGTTTCAAGTGTTACCTCCAGACGGGTTTGAAAATCTTGGGCTGATATTATAGTATGACACAAGGCTCCACCTGCTATTCCTGCTGCTGCAAAAGTGGAATAGCCAGGACAATTTGGATTCCCCATACAAAGTGAGTTGGGGTACTATTGTTACTGGAAAGCAGGGGCTTGGAGTGGTGGAGTTTAAACATTTAGTTAAAGTTCCATTACACCAAAAGTAAGTGCCTGGCGCTGCAGAGGTGTAGGACATAATAGAGATGTTTAGTGAGCAGAAACTGTGCCTCAGGGGGGTAGATAAGGTGCTGTTGGTGAAAAAACAAACTTGGGAAGGATATGTCTGGTTAAGGGTTTCAGGTTCCCAAAGAGACACTTATAGTGGAGGAGTGGTACAGGAAGGATTGGGTGTGGGTGTCGGTGATAGTTGAGTGGAATTAATGGGTACAGCTGCAAGTAAAGGTCGTAGAAGAGAGGCACAAAGGAAACAGTGGGAAACATTGGGTAAAGTGTGTGAATGGTTAAGAAAGGATAAAGTATGTTGAATAATTTGTACCCATGAAGACACTGGGACCTTCTGAGGTCTTTCTAGAATTTGTTCTTGCAGGGTTTGCTGGATAAGAGGTTTTAATCCCTGTCAGTGTGTCAGAGAGATGGGAAATTGGGGTCTTGAGGGAAAATGAGAAGGATTCTTTAAATGAATAATAACAGGTGAATGGTGGGTAGCAATACTAGGAGTAGAGATGTCCCATACAACGGGATTTACTAAATCAGGAGGTAAAGGAGGGTTTGGTGTGGATGCTAGAGTGGAGATTAATGATAGTAAAAGTGTTGCTGAGGGGTCTTGTGTTCAATGTAGGGTGACCCCTAGCTTAAAAAGAAGGTCTCTTCCTAAAAGTGGAGTGGGGTAGGTAGGCATTACTAAAAATGAGTGTGTAATAATTCTGTTGTCTATAAGGCATGTGACAGGACCTGTTACCTGGGGTTTGGATAGGTGTCCGTCAACTCCTATCACTGAGACTGGGCAGGGGTATAATTGTCCCGGGAAGGAAGGTAAGACAGAATAGGTAGCCCCTATA